CCAAAAACATTGCATATCTGTCTATATATATATATATATATATATATATATATATATATATATTATGAAATTGACAAATTCCGACAATTATCTGAAGTCATTTTTATGTTTATACATTCTTTTTATAGATACAAATATTTAAGTAAATGCTCACTTTAAAATAAACAGTATTAAACAACATTTACCGGCCTGAATGTCCGAGAAATTTTCAGAAAAAATATTTATCCTCCAACAGCATTTGAACCTGTATCCTTTACGAAACGGCCATTCAGCCTGACGTGCCTTTAACCGTTTCGACCACAGAGGATCGTTCGGTTAGCAAGGCCGAATTTACTCTCTTTAAACTTCAATCTTCCATGAATCTCTCACCCTTTGACCATTTCATAATGTGTGACGTCATTCCTTTACATTTGGATGCGCTTTGAGCAGTTATTAATATCCGTGAGAGATACAGGTTCAAATCATGTCGGAGGACGAATACTTTCTGTGAAAATATGTCGGACATTCACGCCGGTAAACGTTGTTTAATACCGTTTATTATTAACAGAACATTTACTTAAATATTTGTATTTATAAAACGAATGCAAAAAACATAAAAAAATAATATTCTTAAAAGAGTGCTCAATACAGAGTAGAGCAAATATAATTATTTATTCGAATATTATGACATAAACATGTTATAAAATCACTAAAAAAATAGCCATTTTGTTTTAACACATCTGGTGTCTTATAAAGTGATGGGGTTTAATGTAAATTAAAGGGTTTAAAATGTGCTTTTAAAAAACCCTTTAATCTAAATTCAACACGATCACTTGATAAGACACCAGAAGTGTTGAAACAAAATGGGTATTTTTAGTGATTTTATAACATGTTTATGTTATAATTTTTAGAATAAACAATTATATATATATATATATATATATATATTATAAATTAATTGATTTTAAATGTTTTTTCCGCTACACAGTTCTAACCATTGTTTCAAAATAGAAGCTAAAAGCCCTGATCGGGGCTTTTAGCTTCTATTTTTCAAACATGGTTAGAACTGTGTAGCGGAAAACATATTTTAAATCAATTAATTTATAATATTAATGCTCTGTAAATTTACATTGAGCACTATTTTGTATATCTATAAGAACACCGGATTATATATCTTACTGTTCTTTTTTATTTATATATATATATATATATATATATATATATATATATATATATATATAGGGGGGGCGTGTGTGCAAATATATAAAAAAATAGGAAAGAAAAGGTCAGATTAATAATCCGAACATCTTTAGTTTTTTTTTTTTTTTTTGGTGCTTTATACACATGTAGAGCTTAAATTATAATTATTTTTTAAAAAATACGATTCCATCGCTACATAAGAATTCTCATGTTTCAAAAACAGCGATGGACTCATATTTTTTTAAAATAGCGATTGAATCATATTTTTTTAAAAAATAATTATATATATATATATATATATATATATATGTTACTTTTAAGGGGTGGATATGTGTTTGTTTGTTGGTTATTATTGTTGTTTTTGGCAAGTCAGTGTATGTATGAAATTTGAAAAGAGCACAATACATATTGTGATTCTTATCGAGGTAGTTTTGTAGGCCATTCGCCACACCACCGGTCTTCGTTCTATGGCCCACAATTCTGTCAGCGTGCATCAATTGCCGGAGAGATTTATTTTTAAAATCGTTTGCTATTTATTTGAAAAGTAATGAATAGATCTTACATTCTGTTGCTTGGGGAATTAATAAGGAACTCTACCAGAAGACAACTGGAAAAGTTTAATAATAACTTCAATCCAGATAAATTAATAAAAATATCAAATATTTGATCTGTATATTTATCTGACGTTAAATATTCACGAGATAATTACTGTCAAAGAGAGCACGAGTTATTTTTAAATGTCGAATTTTATTCTGCATATCATTCTCTTCGTGTTAAACATATTTGCATATTTATATACATATTTTTTTTTATTTTTTAAGGGTTGGATAATTGTTTGTTGGTTATTGTGTGTTTTTTAAATTTATTTTAATCTAAATTTTCATTCGAGTGAATGCATTCATCTATGATGTAATTTCTTAAATACAAAATTAATGTCAGGATTTGGGGAAAAAATCGAATATATGAATCTACTGAAGAATTAATCACGAAAGAAAACAATTACAAACGAATAAAAGAAAATCTTTAAGACAAATGTTATTTAACATGGCGCAGATTTCATTTCTTTCTTATTTCAAAACCACCGCTTATTAAAATTCTCCGAAATGATCTTTGTTTAACAGATCGAATTACATTACTCGAATCTTTCTCAATCTGTTTACATTCGAGCTCTTGCTATTGCAGTTGGTAATATTCCATCCTTATAACTTTTCAATTCGCTTCGCCATTTAATGGATTGGTTCGTATTCTCGTCTGCTTTTGTGAATTTTTTCACTCTCAAATTTTTTTCTTTTGTTTACGTTTTTTTTTCTTTTTTTCTTCAAATTATTTGTTTCTTTTTTATTTCTTTTCAATAATTTCTCTGTATAGTGGTTTTAATCTTTTTTTTTCTTTTCTTTTGTGCTTTTATCAATTGTCATTGATTCGTTTTTGTTTTTCCTATCTTCTGTACATTTCCATATTTTTATACCAGTTTTCGTTCATTTTTCATTCATAGCAAATTTATAATATTTTCTCTTTTTTCCTTTACTTATTTACTTCATTCTCTTTTTATTTCATTTCTTTTTTATTCTAATATTTTTCTCTCCTATTCTTTATTTTCTTTCTTCGTTCTTTCTTTTACTTTTATTTTTTCCTTCTTATTTCATTATATTAATTTTTCTGTCTTCCTTTATTTTGTAGATATTTTTTTCTTTTTTTTCTTTTTTCTGTATGTACTTAATGCGTATTTATTGTCTCTGTTTATTTCATGTATATTTTTAATCGGTGTCACCCGATGCAAGGCATTAAAGCCACTAAGGCGCAAGAGTTTACTAGGTGTGGAAGAATTAGAACGAGAAACATTAGTAATAAGAGCAAGCAAAGGAAGAACAATCTGGAGGACAGTAGATAATGATTGGCATTGGTTGGAAAGGTTAGAGCCGGAAGGAAGTTTAACAAACGAGACGGGCGCGTTTATTTACATCCATCTTTCTTCTTTTCTTCCATCATTTTCCAATTCTATCTTTTCTTTTTCATTCTATTTCATCGTTATCCGATTTCTTTCTGTTTTCTTTCACTATTTTCCTTCTTTTCTATTTTCTTATTTTCTTTTTCATCTTCTTTCTTTATTCCTATTGTTTTTATTTTATTTTCATTTAGCTTTTTTCTTTGGTTTATTTCTTTTTTCATTCTTTTTCTCTTTTTTTTCTTTCTTTCTTTCTTTCTTTCTTTCTTTGTTGTTATTTCTTTATAGCGTTCTTTCTTCTTATTATTATTTATTTCTTTCTTCCTTTCCTCTATTTTCGTCATTCATTGGTTTTACTAAGCTTTTTTGTGATTTCATTCTTTCTTTTTCTTTCCTTCTTTCTTTCTTTTTCTTTTGATTTTCTTTCGATTTTCTTTCTTTCTTTTTCTTTTCCTTCTTTCTTTCTTTTTTCTCTTTTTATTCTTTCATTACTTCTTTCTTTCTTCATTTGTTTTTCTTTCATTTTTTCTTTCCTTCTTGCATTCTCTTTCTTTCATTTTTCTTTCTTTCTTTTTCTTTCCTTCTTTCTTTAGTTTTTTTTTCTCTCTTCTTTAATTCCGTTTTACTTTTTCTTTCTGTCTTTCTTTCTTTCTTTTTCTTTCTTTCTTTCATTCTCAGCCTATTTCTTCTCATTTTTTTCCTACATTATTTTCCTTCTTTTTTCTATCCTATTATTGTCGCCTTTGTCTTTGCTTCTTGTTTTCTTTTTTATTTTCTTTGTCTTTCATTCTTATCTTATCTTCCATATTTTCTTCTTTCTTTCTTTTTTCTTTTCTTCCTGCTCATGTCGGTGCATTCACCTTTCTCTCTTTTGAGACTCACTATATATATATATATATATATATATATATATATATATATATATATATATATATATATATATAGAGAGTGAGAGAGAGAGAGAAAGAGAGAGATTGTATTTAGGTAGCAATCCTTCATTTATGCATGTTTCATTAAAAACTACAGACAATGTACTATGATTCAGCTTTTTATTTAATTTTTCTTGTGTTTGAACAAGTGTTTTCTTTTCTGGACACAGTGTGTAGAAACTGTCCATATGTTCTGTAATTCCGAGCGCTTTCGGCTATACTTTTAGCCATCATCAAGGATGATTTGATTTTATTTTTTTCAGTTTAATTGAGTGTGTGCGTTAATCTATGTTTTTATTGTTATAGAGATGTTTTATTTTCCAAACGCAGTTAGGACATTGTGGCCTCGTTCGTAGTTAATATTGTTAAAAGTTGGCTTTTTCTTTTTTATCATTAAAATTATTTTTCTTTTTTTATTATTTTTTATTATTTTTAATCTATTTTTTTTACATGGGGGGTATTATGTTTCTGTTTTCTACTAGTATGTCTCGGATGGATTCTGGTAAGTTTGTGTGTGTGTTTAAATGCATTCTAATAGAGCTGTGGTAAGATAGGTGTAAAGTGAGGCGTCTAGATAGGTATGTAGGTTTGTGACCAATGTAATTATTTATGAATTCGGTTTGATCAGGAACACAGTCCACCCTTCTTTAATACTTTCTATATTTGTATTTCTTTCTTCACGCATCTTCTTCATCTCTCTCTCTCTTCTTCATCTCGCTTTCTTCTTCATCTCTTTTCCTCGTTCAACTCTCTTCCTTCTTCATCTATCTCTCTTCTTCTTCTTCACTCTTTCTTCTCCATCTCCCTCTCTTGTTCATCTCGCTTTCTTCTTCGTCTCTCTTTTCCTTAATCTTTCTTTCTTCTTTATTTCTCTTCTTCCTTCATTTCTCTTCCTTCTTCATCTCTCTTTCTTCTTCATCTCGCTTTCTTCTTCATTCTCTTCCTCTTTCAACTCACTTCTTTCTCCATTTCTTTTTCTTCTTCAATTCTCTTCCTTCTCTATCTCCCTCTCTTCTTCATCTCGCTTTCTTCGTCGTCTCTTTTTCTTCATCTTTCTTTCTTCTTTATTTCTGTTCCTCCATCATCTCTCTTCCTCCTTCATCTCTCTTTCTTCTTCATCTTTCTTCCTCCTTCATCTCCCTTCTTTTTATATCTCTCCTCCTCCTTCATCTCTCTTTCTTCTTCTTCAACTCAATTCCTCCTTCATCTCTCTTCCTCCTTCATATCTCTTTCTTCTTCATCCCCCTTCCTTTTATAACTCTCTTCCTCCTTCATCTCTCTCTCTCTCTTCTTCATCTCAATTTCTCCTTCCTTTCTCTTTCTTCTTCACCTCTCTTTCTTTCACGTTCACTTTTTTCATCATCTAACACATTCTTCCAGACCCCCACCCAAACTCCCTCCGTACATATGTCTTTCTTTCTTATTAACGTTGTCTTCCCCGTGGAGGTTCTACATCTCTTTTTCTGTCAACACTTTCCTTCTCCCTTACTTTCTTCGTTAGTCTTTCTTTTTAACCCAGTCTTTCTTCCACAAGATATTTTCTTTCTTTCTTGTCAACATTTTCTTCGTCTGTCTTCCTATATCTCTTACTTTCCCGCGTACGTTCCTTATTATTTTCTTTCTTTCTTCCTTTTTTTCTTTCTTTTTATGATTACGTCCATGGTAGTATTTATTACTTTGCTTTTTATAATTACATCTATTTCTTTCTTTCTTTATTTATTTATTTATTTCTTTATTTCTTTATTTCTTTCTTTCTTTCTTTCTTTCGTATAATTACACCCACAGTCGTACTTGTTCCTTTGCTTTTTATAATTATATCCATTTCTTTCTTTCTTTCTTTCTTTCTTTCTTTCTTATCCTACCCTCTCTACATTCTTTCCTTTCTTCTTTTATTCTACCATCTCTTCTCTTCTCTTTTCTTCTTTCTTTCTTTCTTTCTTTTTTTCTTTCTTGCTTTCTTTTTTTCTTTCTTTCTTTCTTTAGCTGTTTTTATAATTACGTCCAGGGTCGTATTTATTTCTTTGCTTTTTATAACTACATCCATTTCTTTATTTCTTTCTTTCTTTCTTTCTTTCTTACTTTCTTTTTATAATCTACATCATTTTTTTTTTATAATTACATCTTTCCATATCTGTCTTTATCATTGAGAATTTCTTTCTTCGCATACATTGTTCATCTCTCTTTCTTCATCTCCCTTTCTTCTTCATCTCTCTTCTTCTTCATCTCTCTTTCTCCCCACCGCACATTCTTCATCTACCTTCATAACGCTTTCTTTCCGCCAAACGTTATTTATTATTTTCATTCGTTCCGTCTTTTAATCGCGATTCAGTTTTTATCATTGACTTTCATAAATTTTGATTTTTATTTGAATGCCACTGAATTCAATATTCATATCACCTTATCAAGATTATATTCCAGATTTTCCAATAATTCCTCACTTGTCCATTCTCTCTTTCATCCTTTTATCGTTATTGTTAATTTGCTTTTCGATACTACCATCATTAGTATAATCCGAAACGTTCTCTATTCTCCCCGCCTTTATATTTTTGTTATAAACTCTTTCAATTGACGTAACGTCTTTACAATAACATTTTTGGAGTACGTGAAATCATATCGTCTTTATACTTTAATCAAAAGAATGATTATAAAGATTTCCTCTCCGTGCGCATGCGCTATAACAATAAAAAGACATGTAGGCAAACAATCATGGCGACTTCGAGCATGAGGATAAAACACGCAAGATCATGATATGTTTCAAATAAAACAAAACGCATAGAACTCAAGATAATCCTAGGAAAGAGTGAATTTTTAGAAAGAAATATCTATGGCAAGAGTTTCTTTGCTAGAAAACGAAACGAATTAATATCTGTGTTTGTTTAAAAGTGAAATCAAATAATGGATAGCATATCAACATTAAGCTTGTAAGGATGCTATGCAGTTTTGATTCGAGATATCAGTTCCGGCGACGCTGATTCGTTCCGTGTAAAATTGAAAAATATTAAGTTTGATATCGCTACTGTGAAGCCTAATGTGTTCATTTCAAGATTCTTTTCATTAAGTATTGGAATTTACAGAAATATGTACGCAAAAAGACAGTGGCAAATAAGATATACAATGCAGAACAATGATTGTCATTTTTCTTGAAAGGAAATCAAATATCGATTTTAAATTTACATAATCATACTTAGAGTACCTTTTACTAAAAAGTTCACGCACAATTTTGTTTATATTTGCGTTTAAGGGTTTGTGTGTGTTATGCGTGTGAGCCTCTGTGTGTTTGTGTGTGTGTGCGCGCACGCAGGCGTATGTGTTTGTATGGAAATTCTTGTAGGCATCTGAGTTTGGGTAGTTGAATGCGCATCAATTTAACTCTCATCGATTTAGTGGACAAGTTGTACAGCGCCGATGGTGTGTGTTTGTGTTATTTAACAGGGATCAAACCAGGTCTTGCACATACGCAACCCCCATATATATATATTTGTGGTTTTAGGCAGCAAATTCTCATCTAGGCATGTCTGAGTGAATCAATTGCAAACATGATGCCTGCTTATTTGTATCACAATCCTTTAATATTCACGAATAATTTTTCCGTTTGCTACAATTAAACGAGGCAAGAAATGCATTGTAAGAGAGAAATAAAAATGATTTTAGTGTTGAGTGAATTTCTTGCACTTTATTCAATATACAGACACATATATATATATATAACAATCACTTTTTAGTTCAAGCTACCACCACAATAAGTACATATAATGTTTTTTTATCATTCTCCCACCACCATTACTAATCACTTCTACCAATTTACAATAACTATTAGCTACTTATATTATCATTGCCACCAATCCCCTTACACATTACTATCACATCGCATCTACTATTATCATATAGACCCGCTATAATTATTAACGTCAAATACCCCCTCCCCCAGCATATTTAATACCACCAAATAAAATAATCAATAAGGATTACAAACCGAAATTTCTACCAGTTACATATACACAGTCATCAAAAACAAGCAAATAACCAGCTTTAAGATAATAACAAATAAACATTTTTGAAAATTAAAAATAAAAATAATACCAATTTTTACCTATCATAATTTTACACAGACCCCACCACACGTATATACGTACATGCGAGGAAATATTATTCAGCGAAAAAATAGAAAAATGCTCTGATTGCTGACATGTATACATTCACGAGACATTCACGAGAAATTTTCGCTACACTTCCAATCTTTGAATTTCAACATACAAACGCGTATGTATAGACACAACACCACCCATATATATATACATATGTCATATCCGAAACTGTCCACATGTGTTTATATATGTATGAGTCCCGACGGACGACCAAGTGTGTATGTATGTCTGCGTACCTCATCGGGTGTACGGACATGCATCTATGTTTGCGTTTGCATCAGTGACATCACCACGACGTTCCCCCACTCCCATAATAACACCAATACACGCAATCTACATAAACCCCAAATTTTAAAAAAATTATTCAGTTTGTCTGACGATCGCAAAAGCGTGAAACCCAGGGTCACAAACCCATATCAATCCAACCAAATATGTTAATTCCATCTCTGATATTGAGCACTTTCTAATAAGTACCGCGCATATAATATATAAATAATTATATATATATATATATATATA